TAATGTTTTTGCTATCTCTCAGATGGGTTTGTTTTGTTTTATCAGCCGAATGATGGCTTGCTTCACTTATGGTGACAGCTCTTTGGATCTCATCTTGAGAGTTGACAGCAACAGATTCCAAATGCAAATAGCACACTTGAAATGAACTCTGGACCTTTTATCTGCTCATTGTAATTGGGATGAGGGAATAACACACACCTGGCCATGGAACAGCTGAGAAGCCAATTGTCCCATTACTTTTGGTCCCTTAACAAGTGGGAGGCACATATGCAAACTGTTGTAATTCCTACACCGTTCACCTGATTTGGATGTAAATACCCTCAAATTAAAGCTGACAGTCTGCAGTTAAAGCACATCTTGTTCGTTTCATTTCAAATCCATTGTGGTGGTGTATAGAGCCAAAAATGTTAGAATTGTGTCGATGTCCCAATATTTATGGACCTGACTGTAAATGAACATGCCACAGGGCAGTAAATGTTTTATTGGTCGAGTTTTTGTTACAATTGTTACAAGATTTTGTTCTAATCATATGCGTCAGGGACAGTGAAGACAAAAATGTCACAGTTCTGCACCTGCAGTCACACACTAGAACATTATTATTTTCTTCATAGACAAAAATCCTCAGAATTATCTAAACTTCTGCTAACTTGGGAATTGACAACTTACCAAAAACTCTTTGACTTCTCAAGCTGTAAATGATTCATAATAATTATTTGACAACTCATTTATCCAGCAATGCTTCCTTATTAAATGGGACAGTGGGGGTTTTGACTATGATGGTTTATGTCATCAGGCTTTTGTTAAGAACCCATCCATCCATCTTCTATACCGCTTAGTCCTAAACGGGGTCACGGGGGGCTGGAGCCAATCCCAGCTGGCTGCGGGCGAGAGGCGGGGTACACCCTGGACAGGTGGCCAGTCCATGTTAAGAACCCCCTCCACTCAAAAACGTGCTTTTTCTTATTTTTATACCTTCTAAATATGTGCCCTCTACTGTACTGCGTGGTGTACAGTATGTGCGTGTTTATCACCAACAGGCTGTTTCTATATTCCTTTGCTAATGGGGACATGTTTGTTTGCTCCCCTGAGATCTGAGGTTCAAACATGGGCAGACAAACAAAATCTGTGATTCCACAACTGTGAAAGCCAATTATGGTTCACCATGTACTGTAAATATCTGCAGATTTCAGGGGTGCAGTAAGAACCTTGAAACCTCTGGTCTCAGAACAGCCAAAACTAACTCTCAGTGACAAGGAGTTGGAGTGAAAGTTTTATCTGTTGACTGCAAATATGCAGAAGTGCACTGTTTTTGGATGTGAACAAAACCTTGTAGCTTATTTCTACTATTTATTTGTGTGTTTTTTAACATTGATATGAGACATGTATCATTACTGGGGTATTAGTTTTGGCACCCTGGGACTAGAAGCGTAACTAAGTGTTAGTGGTTAGCCAACTGCTATTAACCCTGTTAAATGTTTGTGGTTTGGGTCAGCTGAGAAAATAAAGAGATTCTATCCAATTCTCAGCAAGACTGTAAATACATTTGCACATATAAAACCACTATGGCTATGTTAGCCACCTGTTACAAGCAAACAGCTGATGTTACACGGCTGTGAACAAAAGACTCCTGATCAGAGTACAACTCCAACAGTCCCTCCTGCCATTGTATTGTACGCAGTGATTTCACCAGTCTATGTGGGGGAAGAAGTGGTGGTAGGCAGTGCATGATGCCTGACCTCATTTCCATATATTTGAATATCCATGAATCTTGGAATTCACAACGAAGGGCAAAAATCTGTGTGCTTTTGCCCTTCGTTGTGAATTCCAAGATGTTTTCAGCCCCTTTTCAGAGGTTTATTGAACTTTTTTTGTGGAAGAACTCGGTTTGACTATATATGTTTCACAGCAGAGTAGTTTTATATGCTGTTAAATGTCTGGAGGGGGTTTTTAAGCTTTTTAGTATTCGCACATTGACTGACAGGCTCTTCTGCATTGTATCTAAATTATTATTTTATTTGTATTTATCTATGTTTGTGCCAACATTAGTGAAGAGGTGAAAGTTGGTGCTTTTAAAACCAAATAGCCTCCCTTTTTTATTTGCTCACTGTCATAATTCATTCTGTATTCTGTTTTCTTGCAGCATACTCACTTTCTCTGTCTCTTCTGTTCCTCTGAACCTTTGTTTTCCTTTCCATCCTCTTTCTTTTCCTTCAAAAATCTGGATCAATTTATTCTGATAAAAATCTTTCTCATTCCAACTTCATCTGCCCCATGTCTCTCTTTATCTACTTCCATCCCTCTCCCTGTGTCCAGTGGAGGGCCAGTGGTCGGAGTGGGGGCCGTGGTCGAGATGCAGTGTTACTTGTAACACGGGAACCCAGCAGAGGCAGAGACGCTGCATTGCACCTGTACATGGCTGGGCTGAATGTAAGGGTCCCCATCAGGAGACCAAGGAATGCACCAACCCTTCATGCAGTGGTAAGGCATACAAATTAATATTTAGTATTCACACTCAGATGCTCTCAAACATCATTATGCAAACATGGAAGATGCATTATCTGAAGGCATCTGCCTGCTCTTTTCTGACTGGCATTTCACAGACTGGCAATATGTGGGTTGGGATGCAATTTGCCTTGTGAGTCTTTTTGACCATGGCCCTGGAGGGCAAAAATAGTAGTGTGTTTTAATGAGCCTGGGCCCCAGAATAGGGTTGTATTGATTTAACTGGAGTTCCACTCATAAAACTACAAAAAGTTTAGAAGCTGCTGTCTCACCTTTGTAAGTTAAATTCACTATTTATCAACAATTATTTTTTTATTTCACCTAATATACTGTTTTCCTTCCACCCTACACTTCCTACCCATCCTTGAACCTTTACCGGCCGTACTGTGCTGCTGTTCTAGGTGAAGGTAACTGGGGCAGCTGGAACCACTGGAGTCTCTGCAGCAAAACATGTGACTCTGGTTGGCAGCGCCGCTTCAGGATATGTGAGGGCACCAGTGTACAGGGCTACCCCTGTGATGGCTCCGGAGAGGAGGTCCGGTCCTGTAATGAGAAGAAGTGCCCAGGTCAGTGATTCTAGTGTGTGTACGTGTGTGTGCACTGAGCAAATGAGGGGGAACTACAGAATATGCTATGTCTATATGATTCATGCTTGAAAGTTTATATAAACAATTTTTTCCTCATTTTTTTTTTCTATGGCTGCACTTTTCTTCATACCTCTTCTACAGTAGTTGGCAAAGAAAAAGATACAGTATACAGTGTATACTGTATCTGTGTGTGCCCAATCTGCACATGCACCGTAATTGTTAGGGAAAATGGCGGAGAGTCTCAGTGGTTTGCAGCCCCAGCCAAAGACTTCTACTGCAATTTTAGAACTGTAATCTTCTCATCTGTATCAGCCTCTTGTCAGCCTACTTGTCATAACCATCTGTCTTTACCTCTTCATTTAATTTGCATGTTTGATTTGTGGTAAATTCCTTTTATCCTTTGTTTACCTATGAGTTGTTCCATTTCTCCTTATATCGTGCCTCCTTAACATTATTTTTATCTCACTAATCTCGCTCACCTTTTCTTGCTTGCTTTATTTCTTTCTGTTTCTCTGCCTGGTAGAGGGTAACATGTTTAGTGGCCCGCTTGGTGCCATTTGTCAGTGTCAGCAACAAATGGTTTGATAAGCATGACTCTTGACTCAGGTTGTGTGTGCATGTGAATATGCAAGTTTGTTTTCTATGCAAGCGACATGTACTTGCATTGAGCTCTGACAAGCTGCAAATGATAAACTTTTGAGTGTAGCCTCCACCTTGGCCCCTTTGTTTGGAGTGGCTTTCAAGCCTCTTTTATACGACAAGTGTCTTGTCTGTTGGCATTGCAGGGGAACATCATATTTTCTCTCCTTCTCTCTTTGCTCTCCGTCCCTCTTCATCTTTCTGCTTTGCCTCTGCGAGTACTCCTCTGCCCCCTCGGAATATCTTCAGAGCACTCTCCCCCGTTTTTTCATCAGGCTTATGAAAGAGAGAGATGGGGGAAACAGATGAATAAAGAGAGGGGGTAAGATGAAGAGGGAATGAAATACTGTACTGAGGGAGTGACACTGACAGAGAACACTGAGCAATGTACAAGGGAATAAGATTGGGAGCTGCTGCAGAAGAACATTGATTTGAATCTTGTTTTTTGTACTTTTCTGTCTCCTTATTTTTTCTATGGCTGTGCGTGCGGGTGTGTGTGGGAGTGTGTGATTGGTAGTTTTCCTTTCTCTGTGTGCCTGGTATAGTGTGCTTCACTTCACTTTTTTATGTCTTTCTCACTTACTTCTACAGCTCCTTATGAGATATGTAAAGATGAGCACCTCCTTTCTATGTCATGGAAGAGAGCCTCAGCTGGAGAAACTGTCTACAACAAGTGTCCAACTAATGCCACTGGTCAGTCATTATATGTCTTAAGCAAATAATGGTATTTGTTACCTGTTAGCTTACCGTGGCTTGGTGATGTTATGATTGCATTTGGTAAGGAATTTTTGTATGAATGATGGTTTGTGATCCATGAAAAAAAAACAGCCAATACTAGCAGAGAAAAAAGTAAAAGTTCATCATGAATAACACAAGTATGTTAATTTATTGAATAAAACATTAGCAACATAGCCTATTTATAAAGGCAGTTCTCTTGAAGTGAAACTACCGCTGGTTGCTCGCCCCCTGGTGGTTGGTTGCAAAATAGGTCATAAACCCCACCCACTCAATGTCAGTGGATGGGACATGAGCTTAACTGAAAATTAAAAGTTGGCTACACATCAAATTTTTTTTCCCCCCTAGAGGTGATTTATGGGTTTTTGTCTGTAGGTAGATGGTAATAGATAGTAGATAATAACATGCTTATTTGTATACAAGTGATCAGTTTAGATAATTTGACAATTTTGATTGCCAACCTGATGCTGCAACTTCACAAATGGTTGCTACTGTACAGAATATGGTTACAAAAAGGTAAGATTGTCCCCATATGGGCAACATTGTTGGCTTTACTTTTGCACAGTAGCAGGAAGTGGTGACATGTTGTCCATTTATATATATATAATCTATGGTTAGCACGTATTAATAGGGCTAGCTACAGTGAGAAAGATGATAGAAACTATCAAAAGAAAATCTAAGTTTAGAATCTTCAGCAGATTCAGATTCAGACAGCAAGCACACAAAATGTCCAACAGGGGCAATAGAGGTTTATGTGTCATATGAATTTCAATAGATACATAATTACAGACTCAAGGTCCTGATGTATAAATGCTAAAAAAATAATAAAACCATGAAACAATCAGCAATAAAAAACAAGAAAAAACAACAAGAGCAACCAATAAACAACTACCCTTTTAAAAGTAGGTATACCGGTGTTTCCAAAGTACTGAAGTACATTGCATGTCACTATATGCAATATTAGTCAGCAATAAAACAATGTTGTTTCCAGAACTATTCAAATGACAAATTTATACATTAAATTTCTTAAAACAGCAGATAGTGTACTGATGCGAGATGACACAAACAATTCATTGGCACTCATCCATCTAGGCCTTTTCAATACTAACCTCAAGGCGTCATTATAGGCCACTGTCAGTTTCCTAAGACTGCCTTTTTTATAATTAGACCATAGATGAGCAGTGTACAGGGAGGTACAATAAGCTCTAAACAAAGTCAATTTTACTTCATCCAAGTACGAACCAAATTTCCGAACCAACACATTTGCTTGTGCATACAACATGCGGCACTGCCGATACATATCCCCGTCATCAGACAAGCAATCATTTATAACATGACCCAAGTACTTAACTTCATTACACACAGTTAAAATGTTACCAAATAACTTAAAATAAGGGAATGCAAGGGACCTGTCTTCTTTTGTGTGGCATATCATAATAACACTTTTAGCAGAGTTGTACTTGACATTGTAAAGCTCCCCAAACAGAGAACATACATTCAAGAGTTGCTGAAGACCTGCTGAGCTGGGACTAAAGATTACCAGATCATTATACATTAAATGATTCACTATTGTACCTCCAACCATACATCCTGTTTTACACAAAGTTAGCTCCTTAGAGAGACCATTCATATAAAAATTAAACAAAATCAGGGACAACAGACTACCTTGCCTTACCCCGTTACAGGTCTGGAAGGGTGCAGATATACAATTACCTCATCTGACACACATAGTCTGGTGGGCATACCAATATGACAAGCATCTCACTATATATTTAGGAACTTGAGTGTCACACAGTTTCTGGAATAGCTTCCTAAGATTCACACAATCAAAAGCTTTAGAAGCATTTAAAAAACACATAAATATGGTCGAATTTTTACTTTTATATTTACTGACTAGTTCTTTTAAAGCAAAAATACACATATCAGTGCCATGATTGGCTTTAAACCCAAATTGATTATCAGTAGAGCCAATAAGATTATGAAACCTACTCAAGAGAATTTCTTCAACAACTTTAGAAAGTATGTTAGCAAGTGCAATGGGTCTATAATTATCTGAGCTGCCCACCTTTCCTGCTTTATTCTTCACCACCGAGACTAAAAGCATTGACATTAAAGAGTCAGGCATAAACCCATGCATAACAAAAGAAGTAAAGCAAATAGCTAAAAGAGGTGCCAACCTCAAACTAGCATACTTAAGATGTTCTACAGAAATCCCAGTAGACTTATTTGCTGACAAATTGCTTATTGCTTGAGAAACCTCATATGTTTTAATAGAATCAACAAAGTCAACCCTACCTATAGAGAAAGTTTCACTAGGGACACAATTAAATAGATCGCAGTA